CGGGACCGCTGACCCCGCTGTGAACCCGGTGCCGAGCAGCAGCCCCGCGGTCCCGCGTCCTCTAGGGAAGACACTTAGTGCCCTAAACGCCAGCCCCGACCCCGGCGCCCGCGCCTGAGGATGCTCGCCCGCCCGCCCGCGCGCGAGGACCAGGCTGTCCCGGGTTCCGTGCTTGTCCCTTCCCGGTCGCCAACTCGAGGACCCACCTGGGGGGCATGTCGGAAGCCCCGGGCCCGGCTGCCGGCGGATCCAGGGGGGACGTGGCTGCAATGCGCTGCCCTCCGCCCGCCGGGCCCCCGGTCGGTCTGTCCTGCCGGTCCGTCCTCCCCGCGTCCTGGTCGCGTCTCAGCCCCACCGCGCTTTCCGCACACTCTTATCTGGAGCGGCCCGAACCGGCAGACGCTGCCGCAGCCATGGCGCCACCTCGCGGCCGCGCGGGATTGTAGCTGGCCGGGCTGCGACCTCTGGCGCACACCTGGGCTGGAGGCTTACAGATGCGGAGCTGAGCTGGAGATCTGCAGGTTCACGCTTCCAGATGTGCCCACCTGGGGACCCAGATATCGGACCTGGGGGGGCCATAAACCCTGGGGTTTTGAGCTGCGTGCTCCCGAATACATATTTCTATGTAATATGGCGCCAATTCAGAAAAAGTTGTCTTCAAAAGGGGAACTCTGAAGCCGGGTGTAAGGGCACCACACTCTTGTAATCCTAGCAGCAGGGAGTTGGGAGCCGGAGAACCAGGAGTTCGAGGTCAGCCTCTACCTCATGAGACCCTCTCTCTCTCTCTTTTTTTTTTAAAGGGGGGGTGGAACACTAGTGACAGTGTTGAGAGGGCAGATTTTGGAAATCCTAAATGAGACGAAGGTAGGTAAGTTCGGAGAGGAGAGGGGAGCCTTCACTGGACATTTCTGAACACGACTGTCCACTTGGACTCAGGCTCCAAAAAAAATCCCAACTCTCCCTCAGGCACGTGTTACCAGTATGCACATCATAAACCGTCCACACTCAAACGCTGTGCAAGCAGTGACACTGGGAGGAGCATATGTTTACACAGGCAGCCCGCCCCCTCCAGGAGTCGCAACTTCTTGGGCTTCTGCGGAGGCTGCTACAGAGCGCACCCCTGTGACTTACGGGTCTCCAGAAGGACCCTAGGATCCTCCGACTGGGAGTAACTGGACAGAGCCCCTTGGGACATTGCCCCCCAAACCCCACATCCCTCATCTAAGCAGTTTTGAGGGATCCTACGTGATTATTTTTCACCAACCCGCCATTTGAGAAATATCACGAGAGCGGGCGGCTTGAGACCCACCCCCTCCCAAAAGATCCTACACGCCACACGAGGGAGGGCTCCATTCACGTAGGTGACGCCTCTTCTAGGAGGGAGGGGACCGTGCACCGGCTCGTGGGTGCTATCCGGAAATGTCCCTGCGTAGCGGGGCGGAGGCGCCAGCATCGTTGCAAGCACCGCGCCTCAGTGGCCCACGCTCCGCCTCCTCCCCGCACCTCCTGACCCCCGCCTACACCATGGGGGGGGTCCCCCAAACCGCCCACAGCTTCTTATTGGCTGTATCTTCCTCCGTGGCCAAGCCGGAGAGGCTGGGGCGCAGTTACTATGGTAACCAATGAGGTTCCCAGGATCTCATCTCTCAGAGGCCTTGGAGAGCTTAGCAACCGCGCGGGGCCGCCAGGCGGGTGGGGGCCGCGCTCGCCGCACCCCACGCTGTCCTCGAGCCCGTCGCCCCCGCTTGAGGTATGTGGCTGAGTCACTCGCCCGGGCCCGCAGACGCAGCCTCTAGCTGTACCAGCGAGACACCAAGGTCTTGGGCGCCCCCTAGAGGCTGCGATTCATTGGCAGGAGACTTCTGCGCCTGGCCTAGGCATCTGGTCCAAACAAATCAAGACTGCGCATAGCCAGGTTTCCGCAGTGTGCTCCGCGTCCGTCTGTTCCACGTACTGTCTCCCCCACGGGAGCCTCACAAGCACTGCGGTCCCACAGGGGGCTCCGCAATTTCTGAGTTCTAGGAAAAGCCGACACAGTACCTCGACCGAGGGATATGTTTTCGGGCTGAAGCGGAAATGTAATGGAGTGTTGAAGGCTCACCAGAAATGCTCTTAGCGATGATTTTTAACACATCAGTAGGGTTCTCCCACCGGATCGGAGGCCAAATCCCAAACGGCAAGCAAGGTGTCTCTGTTTTAATTTTTCTTTTAATAGGGTTAGATTGTACCGAGTCTGGAAAGAAGCCCCAGCCTCTGTGTGTCTTTAAACAATAAAGTGTATCCGCTGTCTGACCCACCCAAGGTTCACTGCGTCCACCATACCCCACCTACTCTTAAGCCCTCATTGCATCGCTATGCGGAGGACCACACAGACCTGTCCAAGCTTCTCCATGTACTCTGCTCTTCTCTTCTCCATGCGCCCCCAGCCCGGCTCACAGGTCTCACTATGTAGCCATGGCTGGCCTCGAACTCTATGTAGATCAGGCTGGCCTCGAACTCACAAAGATCTGTATGCTTCCCATGCGCTGGGGTTGAAGGCGGGGATGTGCATCATCCTGCCCCACCTTTTAATTCCACTTTCCCCTCCTTCCTCAGCCCGCCCCCCTCCGTCAACCTGGTGCAGCTTTTTCCCCTCGCCGAACACATGCCGCCAACCATTTGTAGCCTAGAGATAGAATTGGGCTGTTCTGGGGAACCTGGCCCACATCGCGTGAGCCCTTTTGGCCAATCCTTTCTCCTCTGGAAAGGAGTCCCTACCACCCCGTCTGCCAAGCTCAGCACTCTCATTCCCTTAGTGTTGCTCCCTCTCTTACAAGCTCTGCCTATGCTTATTCCACCAATGAGTGCTGCGGTGGTTCCTCGGTGCCACAGCTGGGCACTGCCAAGTTGCCTTCTCCATCACTTGTCAGGCTAGCCCTTCCTTTTGTAGACACATTGCCCAAACTCTTACAGAGGACCCTCTGCTCATTTCTGAAATCCAGGCTACACTCAACTCCCTTACCTTCCCTGTGGTTTCCACCATCCGACTGGTACCTTCCCAGTCAGGAAGGAGAGAGAGGGGATAAGGGAGAAGAGAGGAGGGGGGGAGAAGAGAGGAGAGAGGGAGAGAGAGAGAGGGAGGAGAGAGAGAGAGAGAGAGAGAGAGGGAGAGAGAGAGAGGGAGGAGAGAGAGAGAGAGAGAGAGAGAGAGAGAGAGAGGAGAGAGAGAGAGAGAGAGAGAGAGAGAGAGAGAGGAGAGAGAGGAGAGAGGGAGGAGGAGAGAGGAGAGAGAGAAGAAAGAAGAAAGAGAGACACACAGAGACAGAGAGAGACAGACAGACAGACACACACACACAGAGAAAGAAAAACAGACAGACAGACAGGCCATACGGGGTGTGATACCGCCGCGGGGCATCTTCTAGCGTCACAGACCTAGGAATTGAGGTATGTGGTTGGGGGCTACATACCCCAACCCCCGAGTGTGGAGCCCGAGGTCCAGGGGAGAGAGAACTGAGCCCCCAGGACTCCCAAAGGCCCGAGAGGGGAGAGTGAATAAACATGTATAGGGGCCGCACCCTCCCTGTACTACCCTCCTCCAGCCCGTCGCCTGCAGTTCCGGAAAGTTAACCCCTTGGAGGCCAAGCCTGGGGTTACGTACTCCCCCTGCCCAATCCTGCTTCCGCGTGCACACCCTCCTCCCGCTCCCAGCTCCCTGTCGCTTCATCCCGTCCTCCCCTACGCCCCCCCCCCGGCTTGCCGCTATAAATAGCCTCTTTTCCCGTTTCCTAAATTCCCTGCTGACGTCGGCAGCGCGTCAGTGTGTAGGAGCCGCGGCCGCATGAATGAGCCGCCGCACGAGTACTACGCGCGCCTATAAAAGCGGCGGCGCCCGCCGGGCTGCGGGAGGGAAGCCGGCACCGGCGCGACGCGGCCCGCCAGGTAAGGACCCTCCGATGGTGGGAGATGGGCCAATGCAGGGACACCGCTGGAGGGCACGGAGGGGACCGGAGGCGGGCGGAGGGTCGGAGGGTCGCTCCGGAGTGAGGATGGGGACAGAGTGGGAGGGACGAAGGTTCCTTTGCAGCTTGGAGGAACAGGGGCCGGAGGCTGACCCAACCCTATGCAGCACCTGCGGGCGCCCAGATGAAGACGCAGACACTCTGGAGAAACATGGAGCGGAGAACCGAGCCCCCGTCCCCATTTCCCAAGGCCGGACGGCTCCTGCGCCATCCTTCCAAGAAAGTGGGGAGAAGGCGCTGGAGTCCCTGGAGACGCGCCCCCTCATTCTCTCCCTGTCCGCAGCGCGGTGACTCAGCCTAGATGGCCCCGATTGACTGAGCCAGGGCGCCCACGACAGACAGACAGACAGACAGACAGACAGACAGACAGACGCACGCCTCGTCCCTGCGACTCTCTGGGAACCCCCGCCCCGCATGCTGCCCAGATGCCCCTTCCCAGTCCTGCCCCGTCCCTTCGCGTGGTCCCACTGCGCCCAGGACTTCCCGCCTCTGCGAGCGAGCGAGCGAGCGAGCTAGCGGAGCTGTCCTCTCAGGACCAGGCGGGGGCGGGGCTTCGGCCAGGCCGCCCCGCTCCACCCCCACTGTACCCCCCCACTGCCGGAAGTGCCTCCCCGCTGGGACATCTTTGACGTCACAGGACTCTGACGTCAACGGTCGCGTGCCTGTCCGCGCGCGCTTGGGCGGAGGGGGGCGTGAGAAGCAGCAGTGCCCCAGCCGCGGGCGACGGGACATCCCCGCCCGGGCAGCGCGCCGGCACCTTGGCTCTAGACTGCTTACTGCCCGGGCCGCCCTCAGTAACAGTCTCCAGTCAC